CCGTTTTCCTAATGCCACCACCGAGTCGATGGCGTGTGTCCTGCTCGATCCTAAGATCAAGTCTAGTGCCAAGAAGATTGTAGCCGTCGGTGATATTCCACACAAGGAGGAAAAGGCAATATACAAGAATGGAGTTGACTATCTACGGGACGAGCACCGAAAGGTATTCACCCAAATGACCAAGGAGGGGAAATCTTTCTCTCAGCAGTCGCTGTCTCAGAGTAGATTATTGAGCCAAGATTCGTCACCTCTTTCCTCGCCCTCATCAACGGGCTGGGATGACGCTGACGAACGGCTACTGGGGGCACCCATTCGAGCTTCAAAGACAAAAGATGAGCTAAAAGAGACCGAGATCAACGCCAGAGCCGATGATCTTATGAGAGAATGGATTAATTTAGAGCCAGAGTGGCTGGAGGTCGCCCAACGCCAGAACCCCAACATCACGATTGAAGAACTGTCCAAGGAAATGTCGATTGATGCTCAGCGGGATGCATTACGCACTGTTGGGCCTGTACAAGCGTATATGTGCTTAAGTGGTTTCGAGATGACGGCGAAGCTCAGTTTCCCTCTATTGCGCTACTAGCGCGTATCCATCTCGGCGAAATATCGTCATCAGCGTTTCAAGAGAGGGTGTTTTCAGCTGGAGGGATAGCTATGGGGCCTCTTAGGACAAGGACGGATAGCAGACGAGCGGAGAGGCAGCTTCTGCTGCAACAACAGGGATGATATTATGAAGATGAAGCAGGACACTGGCAAGCTGAACGAATCGAAAAGACAGAAATAGTAGTTGAAATAGCATACTAATATGGCTACTACTACTACTACCGCTTTGTAGAAGCTCTACTAGTTTCAAAATGTCTCCATCCGTGCGGTCCCGATATTCCCGGTAATACTACTAACGGTTTTGTTACGCTACTATTAATCCCTGGTGCTGAGCGTCGGGCCGTGCGCGTACACGAGCGGCCCGGGATCATGTCTCATGTATGGGAGAGCTCTTTCTCCATAAATTTACACAATAAAATTACCCCACAACTGTGCGAATCCAGTTGCTGGAATTGCCTACTAACATTTTTACCCACCGTTTTTCCTGCGGCAACAACGGCAAGAATACATTACCGGTACGGAAAATGTCCTCTATCGTGCCAATAATAATTTTGGCGTTTTGCGGGTCCATAACAGTGAAAAGGTACGTCTTCAGACTGCTGCCAATACCACACCAATGATTGGAATTTATACACAGCGCTCCAACAATCTTGTCCTCTGTCACTTTCATAGTGCTGTTGTTAGTGAGCCATTGCACTTTTTCTTCTACTGTAGGCATTGCCAACAACTGCGTCGTCAAATTGGTCGACAAGACAGCACCCGCGCAACCATTAGCTGAAACGAAATTAGAACATCACTGTATCAGTTAGAAAAATATAGATAGACCTCAGATACTCCTAAGGGGCTGGTCGCGCTGGCTAGTGCTGGTTCTCGGCCTGGTGGTGTTTAGGGTAGGGCTAATCAACTACCTGATTGGCTGAATTCGAGCAGAGACTAGGACAAAAACCCGTTTTTGTGAAAGCTTGGGAGCTAAAGGTACGATCAAGTACCCGAGTTTTGCGCTGTACATGTGGCTGGCTAGCAATAGCCCACCAGATTTTATAATGTACTTGATTGACGGTGCCTAGTCCACCCCAACTAGTTGCGCTTGCAGTGGAAGCCGTCGTTGCGAGTGTTGCTCTAGTATGTGGGTATATGCTTCATCGAAATGTATCCATGAATGTGTTTACCTTTGAAGCGTCTGTAGATCTGCTAACGCGCTCGGCGTGAGTCTCATAGTGAGTGTCATTAAGTCGGGCACCATGTTGTCGCTCCATTCCAATTCAGCGGTGCCCTTTTTGCCAGATTGCGTTTTTCTTTCTCTTGCCTCCCTTCTTGCCTGTGGTTTTAGAGTTGTCTCGCATGCCACCAGCCTAGCGCCGTTAGCCGTTGTGTGGCTCTGTGAAGAGGGCGATGGTGCATCTGACATAGCCATAGCAGGCAAACTGCTACCTGGTGGCAGATAAAGCGCGTCGTTTGCAGTGCTTGCCTGGTCTGTAGCCAAAAGGCGTGCGTTCATTTGTTGTTTGGCAGGAGAACGTCGGTGTGGGCACGGGCACAGTCATGGTGGGCCTGAATGCATGCTGCTTCGGGCGCAAGAGAGAGCTTGCAAAGTGTGCAGACCAACAGCTCAACGCGCACACACCACTGAATTCCAGACACAAACCTGACGTCGTCTTGTTTTGGCACCTAGCCCTAGGTATACGAGACCGAGAACCAGCACCAGCCAGCGCGACCAGCCCTAATCAAACCCTGGCTGGACACCCAATCGAGCGAGCGTGCTGGCGCGGACGACTCCCTGCTCGGTGTTTGCCGCTATACGTGCACTCAAAGGAGATATAGTACGGGAAAGACTCGTCATGGTATAGCTGACGCTCAGGGGTTGGTTCGTCTCTCTCCGAGTTATGTGCTTGGACTGTCCGGTTATGCGCTGCACGACTGATAGACGCCCTCTTCGCGTAGGTCTATAGCAAATGACTTCTATTTAGTACTACACCGCTCATATGACCACAACTTACAGCAGTCTACGCTTTTGCACCTGGTATGTCTCTGTGCTGTACGTCTTCAGCGCAACGATGAACGCGTCCCACGTCTCGTACGTCTCGTTAATGAGGCATGGCACCGAAACGTGCGTATCTTCTCAGTCTTCGTCGGAGGACTCCGCGCTTGATTCTTGGTGGGATCCAGGCTCGTCTTCGTATGCAGACTCTTTCGACGCTTCACTTACTGCTGCGACTCGGCGTTTCATCGCTCCCATTGCGGCTCTGCTGGTCCTGGTACGACGGTGCCGCGTGTTGTGGAGCTCGCAAAATGGAGAGATTTCTGAATGAGCCGTGGCCACAAAAGTCGAAACGCAATTATACGTTTGCACCAGGTCTATTTAACGGCGTAAATTTAAAGTTTCCGCTGACCGGGTTTCTGCAAGCGCTTAGGTGTACTTTCCCTCTCTTACGATTGTGATTTACCGGCTCCTCCTGTTGTAATAGTCACTCTCATAGGGAGAAACTAACGAGGGACCTCATCGGGAAGGCCCTCGCACAAAACGTACACAGTTGGGATAGGCAGATGAGATAGCAGTATCGTACCGGTATTAAAACCGTTTCCGTTTAAAAAAACCGTTCCCAAATCGTGTTCCCGTTACAAATCGCGTTCCCGTTACATCTACCACTCTCAGATCTCCCTCCAAAGCCTCAAATGGAGAAACTATCAACAGAGCCATTGCTTCCGCATGGCTATCTGCCCGTGGGCCTTGTGCTTCCTGACACGGTAGTTCCGTCGCTCCTAGCGGAAGCCAAAGCGCGTCCGTACAACGGTGTTTTCAATCGCGTGAGTGGTAAAGACGACAACTTCCGACAGCAATCGCGCGTGAGTGGTAAAGACGACAACTTCCGACAGCAATCGCGCGTGAGCTCTCGCACCATGTCATCACCTCTACAAGAGTTGAACAAGGCACTAAAAGTGGTTGTCGCCATGCTGCACCCTGGGTGGGAGCCTGGTATTTTCTCTTTCATGCGGTCGATGCATGGGGGCTCAGAACAGGAGCCCCACAAAGACTACCAAGAGAGTGACTTGGTGAGAGCCCGTAACCTTCGCCCGGATGGTGTTCCAGCCAGCATGATTTTGCTTTTGAGCCCGGCACGAAACTCCGCATCTATGCTGGTTGCTTTACTACGAGAGACAGCTCCAAGGCGGGCGTCGTGGACATTCCGGTTGGATTCTGTGTTCTGTTTAGAGGTGACCTTATACAAAATGGAATGCCGTACACCACGAGTAACTACCGCATTCACTGCTACCTTACCTACGCAGGGATGAAATGGACACCAAATATCGTTCAAGACGCACTTCCCGAACACGGTGAGTGTATGTTTTGCGGCGAAAAGGTGGAGAAGGTTCAAGCAATTCGGAAACACATCTTCTCCCCCCAGACGAACCCCGAGGGGGCTGAGAACAAACAGAAGCACAAACGTGCGATTTGTAACGGGAACGGTTTTTAATACCGGTACGATACTGGTACTTACTGACTATCTCATCTGCCTATCCCAACTGTGTACGTTTTGTGCGAGCCCCCCCCCCCCCCCGATGAGGGCCATCGTTAGTTTCTCCCTCTTTCATTTATGAATTCCTCACTAAACTTAAAATGATATGATCTAGCTATCGTATGGAAAGTTTGATGTACAGTACAAGCAGGCTAAGAAGCCATTTCTCGCCTGATGCGCCATGTTAAAATAAGCAAAAGACATTCATTATATAAATTGATCTTTCTTGCTCCGTGACAATCGTCTCAGCATTAGAGGATGTAAGCAATCTCGTATTTTACGATACGGAAACAAAGACGAGGGCGATGTGGCGTTTATGTCCTCGAACTTCTCCGTAGAAGTCGTAAAGGGTATTTACGACTCGACATGTGATAGAATTGGCTAATTTTCCAATTTTCCAATCTTTGTACATTTGGTGTTTTTTTACGAGAATGCTAACAATGCGATGAAGTAGTTCTCCTAATTCTCCAAAACACAACATATTTTTCACGCCTGAGAACTGCAAATCTCCCGGACCACTCGGTCCGGGTCCCCCTATTTGTACCAGTATGCATGGGTGTATTCCGGGGATGGATTGTCGGAATTGTTATTGGTAAAATTGGTCTGGACGACAATTCAACTCTTCAAATCCCACTTTTACCCTTTCTCTTCCCGTAACCTAGTTACTGTACGGGATAAAACAGTAGGATAGGCTACTGTATGTTTTGACGCCTCAGATTGGCCAAAACTACGTGCAATATCGGTACTTGTATCCATACGTCAAATTCTTTGATAAGAGGCTCTAATTTAGAGCCGACAGCAAATCAAAAAGTGGCTTACTCCAATAGAGGTAACTTGAAGTTCATTTCATCCAGATCCTAGAAATGAGCATTTTGCAATCTGCACCATCGGAAACAAGCTGCCGAGATGTCGCTGTATTTGCGTGCCTTAAAGCCTCGCTCTTCCCAATGGCGGCGCCTTTTAGCTACCAGTGCGCGCGCTCTACCTACCACGCCCACACCCGCTTTTCCGGACGAATACGCGCATGCCGAGATCGTGACGGACCAAGTGCCCGGCCCAAAGTCGCAGCAGCAGTTGAAGCGCCTCGCTGCGCTGCAGAATACGGGCGCCATCAATTTCTTCGCGGACTATGCGGCGAGCAAGGGCAACTACCTGGTAGATGTGGACGGAAATCGCTTCCTGGACGTGTACGGTCAGATCGCATCGCTGCCCATCGGCTATAACCACCCCAAGATCCTCGAAGCCATGAGCAATAAGGAGAACCTAGCTATGCTGGCACAGCGACCATGCCTCGGCGTGTTTCCTCCCTCTGACTGGGTTGACCGCATCGACGACACGTTACTCAAAGTTGCGCCAAAGGGACTCAAGGATGTCAACACACTCATGTGTGGCTCGTGCTCCAATGAGAACGCGTACAAGGCGGTGTTCATGTGGTTTCAGACCAAAATGAGAGGCGGTCGCCCGCCTTCCGATCACGAACTCGAGACATGTATGACGCACCAGCTGCCGGGCACGCCCAATTTGAGTATTCTGTCCTTCCAAGGAGGATTCCATGGCCGGTTGCTTGGTTGTCTGTCGACAACCCACTCGAAAGCAATTCACAAGGTGGATGTACCGGCATTTGACTGGCCCGTTGCGCCGTTCCCGAAGCTGAGGTACCCGCTGGATGTCTACCAGGCTGCTAACGAAGGTGAAGAAGCACGCTGCCTGGACGTGGTTGAGATACTACTGAAGAACAGTGCCGAGCTGACCAAGCCTGAGGACACTCGTATTGCCGGCATGATTATTGAGCCAATTCAAGCGGAGGGAGGAGACAACCATGCGAGCCCCGCATTCTTCCGTGAACTACGCAACCTGGCTGCCAAGTATAGTGTGGCATTCATCGTGGATGAGGTCCAGACTGGAGGAGGCAGCACGGGCAACTTTTGGGCGCACGAACACTGGAACCTTGAGAACCCACCTGACCTCGTCACGTTCAGCAAGAAGATGCAAACAGGCGGATACTTCGCCAAAGAAGAGTTCCGTCTCAAGGAGGGCTACCGCATCTTTAACACGTGGATGGGAGACCCCACCAAAATGATCACGCTAAAGGCAGTGCTTGATGTGGTCGAGAACGACAGCTTGCTAGAAAATGTTAGCATCACAGGCGACTATCTGAAGACGGGATTACACGAGATTGCGGCCAAATTCCCTGCACTTGTGTCTAATGTGCGTGGTCAAGGCACGTACTTGGCCATAGATTTCCCGACGGAAAGTGTTCGCAACGATTTTGTTGGCCTGATGAAGATGAAAGGTGTCGCCTCGGGGGGCTGTGGAACTAATTCAGTGCGCTTCCGACCGGCCCTGGTATTCCAGCCGAAGCACGCTGCTGAATACTTGGCCAAGATGCAGGAGGTCTGTGGAATTCTCAGCAAATAATGAACCAGACTAGTTTTAATGTGAGATGTACTGTAGATCGAGCTTACAGTAGAATCTAAGTCACCGGTGGAGTGAACTTGTCGACCACAGCCAACAATATCTTGAATGTGCTCGTTTTTTCAGTCGAAAAGTAGGTACTACTTACCTGTACTGTAGTGCAAACTACTACTACTACAGTACAAGCAAGGCGATTTTATATATTTGCGTTAATGCCGTATCCGTTGTGCAGCGAGCCAACCGACTTTTGGCAAGGGACACTCACCTCAATCCTGTGTGGCTGGACAAAGTGCTGTTGTGAAAATACGCTCAAGGGGCATCATTGTATGCTAAGATGAGCGTCAGCATTAAAGTATCGATTCGGTGCAGGCCGTTCACGTGCGATGACAAACTGGGTGTCGTGATGACACAAAATGGCGAGGAGGAAGGTGATGTGGAGCTCATTAACTCAACGTATTCCACCACGCGGTTCCCGTTCAGCTACGCGTGGTGGAGCGCTTACGGCTACAAGCGGCATATCCAGGGTGATTCATTACAAGCCGACAATATGATCCTCGTCGACCAGCAAATGGCTTACGAAAGTGTCGGGCGTAAGATCAAGGCAGATCTAATGGGAGGAAATGCCGTCGTACTCTTTGCCTACGGTCTTTCTGGATCGGGAAAAACGTTCACCGTGTTTGGTGTGAGTTTTAATTTGTGATGGTGCTTTTGACTTGCTAACTATCTGCTATTGACTAGCCGGATGCTGTTGATATTCCTGAAGCGTGGTTCAAGCACGAAGAACCCCATCCATTGGTAGGAACATCGAGAAAACGCAATTTGTACGTTTGCAGGCTGCTAACTGTTTATGTCAACGCTACCCTCAACAAGTGGGGGATATTTCCTCGTCTAGCGTACGAGCTGTTTAAGGAGAAGCAGGATGGCTGGAAAATCTCGATGAAGTACTTTCAGAATGTCGTGGACACCGTGCGAGATCTCATGTCACCCGTAGCACAGGAGCAGCAGTACAAGTCAGGTATGCGCAAGGATCCCGATGGATTTACAGACATCGAGTGGTGCCAGTCAGTTGTGCTCAAGGATTGGAACGACTTGCGCAGAACTTTCATGGTAGCTAACGCAAAAAAGGCTATTGCACCAACTCAATTCAACCACCAGTCTACACGTGGCCACTGCATCATGACACTCGAAGTAGAGAAACCTGACCCGGAACGTGAGGGTATGAAACAAAGAGGTCGAGTTTACGTATGCGATCTTGCCGGTACGGAGCCCGCCGGTGACATCGTTTACGCCGACTACAAAAAGGTCGTCTTTGAAGACGGAGAAATCGAGCACAAGTACTTGGGGCCTCACCCCGACGCTTTAAAATCCAAAGAATTGCAGGACCAGGGCAAGAAGATCAATCTGTCGCTGACAGAGATGGCTCAGTTTTTCATGAAGATGGCTGAAGCTGTCAAAGCCAACAAACTCAAGCCGGGCATGTCGATTCCGGGGTGCAATTCGTATTTCTTGTGCAAGTATCTCAAGGACACGATGCTGCAGGCTCGGACGTATCTGTTTTGCGCCATTCGCCCGGAGGTCAAGTTTCACGGCTATACGTTTTCCACGCTGGGTTTTGCCAAGAATGCATCAGTTATTAAGCTTCAGCCCAAGAAAGCTTCGACTGCTGCAAGTCCGGCGGAACGAAAGCTCATGGCCGAATTGGAGCAGATGAAGGCACTTGTGAGCCAATTGAAGGACGAGAACGAGCGTATCGCAACGATGCGCACTGCTTCTGCAGGGTTTTCGGCAGAAAGTGGTACATTATCCGATAATGGTGACATTTCAGGTGGTGATGATGCAGCTAGTGCACAGGTCGCGCAATTGGCTGAGCTGCTCAACCAAAAGCAAAAGGAGCTGGAGAATGTGTTGAGTGGAGGAGGCGGCGGCGCTGATGGTGGCATGAGTGTACAGGATGAAATGATGCAGCGCCAACGCGAAGAGTACGGCAAGCGTGGCATTCACTTGTATCACTTCGAGGCCGACACGACGTCACCTTACCTGATTAACCTGGATGTCGATGCTTACAGGTCGAAGAGATTTATGGTCTTGCTGGACAAGCCTCATTTGACTGTGAGTCCTCAAGGAGACATTCGGCCAATGTCACTCAGCATAGTAAACGACCATTGTTCGTTTGAGAATCATGGCTCGGAGATCTTCCTATGTGCTGGTGCCGGCGAAGTCATGCGCAACGGAAAAAAGTTAGAGAGAAATGCACGCATCCAGCTTGAGCCTTATGACCGTGTGGTAATTGGAAACGAACTGATGCTGTTCGTATACCCGGGCCGTGAGCCAGATGGTGAGCCCCCTTCCGCTGACACTGCCGCTGCGGAGTACAAGGAAGCTCTACAGACCGTCGATACTTCCGCATTGAACGAACTGCAAGAACAAATGAAGAAATTCGAGGAAGAGAAGGCACGGTGGGAAAAGGAACGACTGGAGCGAGAGGCTGTAAGCGCTAATAATGCTGCGAATTCTGCAGAGGCTGAAGCCGCGGCCGCAGAGGCAGCTAGAGCGGAGGAAGAAGCAAGATTAGCTGCAGAGAAGCAACGAGAGCTGCTGGCTCGTCAGGTGAACGACCAGGAACTTCGAGAAGTATTACCCAAGATCGCAGAGCTCACACAGATTGTCAAGCTCCTAAATCGTGACGTTCTCAGCTTTGAAACAGCATTGCAGAGCGCATCAATGGAAGACAAGGATGGAATTGGCACAAATGGTATTCCGAAGGTCAAAGTTAAAGTGTACAACAAGGCTACAGACGAAACAATTTTCTTGGACGTGTTCGAGTTTGTAAAGGCTCATGCGCTTCTGAAAGACGAAGTTGCTTTTCTTCGTAACGCGCTTATGAATGACCGTGAATATGAGTCACCAGCAGGACACGATCCGATCACGTTGCTTTTTGACAACTCATTTCACATTGGCAGCGCCACTACGTTCCTTGAGTACTTGTTGTACAACCTGGAGACGGAGCCGGATGAGTCTCAGCTCAGCATCAAGCTGGCGGTTCCGCCATTTAACACTATCGGAAAGTTGCAAGTGATGTGGATTCCCTTATCGTCTCCAGACCCTGAGAAGCATAATGAAAACGATCTGATGGACGTCGAGAGCCCGAGTGACCTCCTTGGAAAATCTTGGACATTTAAGATTCGCGTTGTAGGTGCCACCGGACTTCCGATCATCACGGATTTGGCCTACTGTCAATACGAATTTCTCGGGGAGCTCTTTACAACCGAAAGTGTCGAGCAGAATACGCGAAGCCCCGCATTCAACTACGAGTTTATTCATCATGTTGATTGCGTCACCGAGCAGTTTATTGAGTACCTCCAAAGCGCACGCCTTGAGTTCCAAGTATTTGTTAACCCGTACATCCTCGATCCGCCCAAGGACAAGATATCTACAAAGAACCCTGCCATCGCTACACAGCTGAGCGAGGGGCACGCAGGTTTGGACATTATCCTCAATAATGGGATAATTTTGTCTTCTTACTCACACTTCTGCCCACAGCCAAACCAACGATTGAAGAACTAGAAATGAAGTGTGCGCACTTAGAAAAGAGCCTCGCGAGCGTGACAGAGGATCTCAATTTCCTGAGAAAGCAGTATCGGATCTCCGTTGGAAGGTCAGTCTACAATTGCTTTCGCAACTTCATGCTGTGCAGTTTACTATTACATTATTTCCTCCGTGTAGCGATCCTCCTACTCGTCTTTCATCAAGCCTAGCGGACGTGGACGATGCCTCAAAAAGGCTAACGTACTCAGCACCGTGCACACCACGAAAGAAGATTGAATCGGCCAAAGCTAATGACATTCGTCTAAACAGCTCAACGATGGAGGAATCGGGAAGTCTAACAGAAACTATTAAACTGGGATAGCCTGAAAGGCTGCTAATTTGTTGAAGTCGGTATGTATGATTAAAAAGGTATTCCAGTTAAATACATGTAAGAAGAAACTGATGCAGCACTTCCATGCTGGTATGATATCTGAAACGTAAAAGGGATAATTTAGCATTGCTCCATCCACTTGGGCATACAGTATTTATAGGCTTCCTGACGCGACTGTTATGACCATTTACCATCGTGCCAAACTCAATGGAAGACAAACAAGACATCGCAGACGTCCCTGACGCTGGACTCGGTGCTGCCACGAGGTCAAAATCTATGATGCCCCGAGCTTGTGTCGAGGACATCCAATTCGAGGTGGGAATGAGGCGCGTCAACATTCCTGTCGGCTTCACTATTCTTACAAGATTGTGTTTCCTTTGAGCAGATGGATCATGAGGTCCCGCCACGTCGACAAACCATGAGCACTCCGCTGCCTTCATCTTCGGCAGCAAGCTCTCCAGGAGGTCGGAAAGGCTCCGTAAGCAGCATGAGCCCGCTAAAAATTCTAATTGCGTCCTGGAACGTTGGTAATACGATGCCGCCCAAAGATTCCAAACTTTTGACCGAGTGGATTCCTGAAGGTGGTGGTGACTTCGATGTCATCGCTGTGGGGTTGCAGGAAAGTACCTACAAGACTGAAAAGGTTTCCGAAAACCTAGTGAGAGCGGATAGATGGCACACGTCGAATGTCAAGGCGGAAAAACAAGAGGAAGAAGGAATTGAGACGGAGCCCCCTACACTGAATAGCGTCTTCGATGCCACTGAGGTCAATGATGTTGAGGAAGAAGATGAAGTGGAGGAAGAGGAAAGCGAGACACAAGCTGATTACTCCCGAGACAAGAGTAGAACGAGACATGGTAGCACGTTGGAGTTATTTGGCACCGATGAAAGCAGTAGTCCCAGTGCTGGGGCGAAACGTGACAGCCTCACTTCAGAACCGAGCAATACTAACGAAGTTGATGCTGACAAGTCAACGGACGTGATTGTGAAGCGCTCACGTACCAAGAAGTCCATGCGCAAGATGACCAGGATGGTGCGCCAGCTAAGCAGCAATCTGCGTGACACAGTTGGTGATACTCACGACTATCCATTCAGCAAACAGATTTATCTGCATCTTGGTGAAAGCTATGGTTTAGCAGGAAAAGTAGAATTGATGGAGATGCGTTTGTTCGTCTACGTTCACGAACGCAACATCGTTTGTGATGTGGAAAAACTAGCAGTTCCCACGGGCTTAGGAAGCGTCATCGGAAACAAGGTAATTCTGCTCTCATTAGGTGCGCTTTTGTAGTTCATGCCGAAACTAATTTACAATTTGGATCAGGGTGGTCTACTATTTAAGTGTGTCGTCGAAAACACCTCTCTTTGTTTTGCAAGCTGTCATCTGGCGGCGCACCAAGATCAAAAGTTCCTTGACAAGCGCAACAGCGATGTACGTGTATCTCCAAGCAACAGCTTATTCTGATCATGTAGCTCATTTTGGTATCGTACAGTGCGCTACCATCCTCGGTGCTCAATTCGGGCAAAAAAACGTATCCATCGACCACCAATTCGACCATTGTTTCTGGTTTGGTGATCTAAACTATCGCCTGGATTTGAGCTACTCGGCTCCTCGCCAGCGCAACCACGAAAAGCACTGCGCTGAGGTCATGACACTTGTACGAGCTAAGAAATGGGCTGCGTTAAACCAGAATGATCAACTGAAGCACCAGGTTGAAGGCAAGAAGGCACTGACCGGATGGGAGCTCCCACCGGCGCTTTTCCCGCCAACGTTCAAGAGGGTTCGGCACACTCTTGACGAATACTTGGTGAGTTTTGTTCTTCTTTTTGGTTTCTGTTCAGCCTACTAGTTGCTTACAGAGAGACCCCCCCCGTTTAAATAGCTGGAGCGTGTACCCTCTTACTGCGACCGTGTATTGTATAAATCACTGCCGGGATTGCGTGGCAGCCTAAAGCTACAGCGTTTCTCCTGTTTTGAAGCGATTGCTACTAGCGATCACAAACCCATTGCGGCTGCATTTCAGGTCAACCAAACACCACAGATCAATTCCGGCTCAGCTGAGAATTCTACTCTCGTCGAAATCTCAGAACTTATCGGCAAAGACCTCCTGGGTCTCGACATAGCTGGTCTCAGTGACCCATACGTGAAGTTTTACTCGACGCCAAGTAATGCAGTGCAAGTAGACACGAGTGGAAGCCATCCGAGTACTGTCACGATCTCGAACACTTGCTCTCCGATGTAAGGCTATGTTTACGTTTAATCCGCACTCTGCATCTGATAACTTGAGCTTTTCGTGAATTCGTGTAGGTGGAAAGATGACCAGGTCCCCAAGCTACACATATTGTGCGATAACGAGCGCGACGTGAAGCATGTTCATTTGACCCTGGTCATCATGGACTATGACGCCACCTCAAAAGACGACTTGATGGGTAATTTTCTGCTTCAGAACGACCTTAACGCATGTACTAATGTGTGCTACCTGGTAGGTGCTGCATCGGTGCCCTTGGACAAATTCTGCCAAAGTCGGCCGCGCTTCATTTCTTTTGAGGTTCCCGTTGTCCTTAACGGAAAAGCTGCAGGTACCCTCACGGGAAAGATTCGCGTCACACTTCCTGGCCAAGCTACAGCACCTGCAGAAGAAACAGGACCACAACTTATTCGAGTGGCCGGCTGCCACTGCATCCTGTCCTAAGCAGCTAAGAGCACCAGTGAAGCAAAGTAACACTCAACAACGAGCAACTATTGAATGACTCTTTTAGCCAATGTCAAGTTATCGACTTCCTAACGCAGGCGCAGATACCTGTGTTTTCCCCTTTTCTCACTCATGCTGCTTATAGTTCGCGACATTATTGAACCTGAACAAGTCGTGGTCTTCAAACACCTCTTCTAGCTGCATACGAGCTTGTCCAAGGATAAAAACTGCACCAATGAGGCGACTTCCACGGGCCACAATACCGCGGTAGAATCTTCTAACTCCCCCTTCACGGTAAATTCGTCCGGCCGTGGCAAGCATACTGGGTCCACGACCCGAAGGAAGTTCCATCGCCTCACCCTGCATAACCGTCTTGATAGTATCCACTGGCTGCGTCAATGAAACAACCACGAGACCAGCAGCCAGACCACCGGCAATTGAAGCCGCTGCTTTTTGTGACGCAGTCGCAGTGTCATACCCACCAAATGCCTGCGGTCTCAAGCGATGCACCTCGCGCGTGAACAGCGGCCCCAAGGCCAAGTAGCCAGCACACCAAATAGCGTCACGAATTGCGGTGGCCGAGTAGCCCCGCATTAGTCTCATCACGCCACGGGCCTCCACTACAGCCTTGACGGTTGCTACAAAGCCCCCTCCCTTGCTTTGTTGCACCGTCATGATCATTTCAGCCGGACCTGTTATGACCGCGGCCGTTGCACCGGAGATCGTGCTGCACAACACCTTGACTTGGCCCGTAGGCGCCGCATCTGTCCCGCTCACTCTGCGCAGTAGTTGTCCGTTGATGGCGAAGCGGATGGCACTCACGGGCGCAATGGAGGACAATGATACTCCGAGACCACGGTAAAGCGCTGAAATCGAGCGAGGAAGTGGTCGACCTTGCTGCACTGCGTTCTTGACAGCCACCCAGGGCTGCTGAATAGTCATCTCGATCATGCCGGCAAGTGATCCCACAGCTCCGTTCTGTAGGGCTGTCAAGCGTTGTGCCCGCTCCGTCATGTTGGCGAGGTTGACGAATCTGTGATTGATTTCAAAGTGAAGTTGCATGGCCGGGCGTAGCGAATCGCGGGGCCGCGATAGCCGTCGTCAGCAAATCCACTTTCAGATTAATTCGGCACCGTACTGTACTTGTAATCTACTACGTAGTATGAAGTACTGTGCAGAATGTAGATAAAATTGTTTTAAAATTGTTACGTTGCAACTTGACATGAACTCTATGGTCCTACGGTAGAAATCCTACCGGTCAGTGATCTACATCTTCTGCTCCTCGAAAATCTCCTCGAGCCAGATGCGGGACTGTCCTAGGATGAAGACGGCGCCGACCAAACGGCATCCTCTCGGAACGATGCCGCGGTAGAATCGCGCCAAGCCCCCTTCGCCGTAGATGCGGCCTGCCGTAGCGAGCGTACTGGGTGCGCGACCCGAGGGCAACATCATAGCTTCGCCCTGCATGACCGTCTTGATGGTGTCCACCGGCTGCGTTGCTGCCACCGTGATCAAACCGGCAGTGACGCAGCCGGCAATCGATGCCAACGCCTTCTGCGACGTGGAAGCAGTGTCAACGTCTCCGAAGGTGGCGGGGCTGAACGTGTGCATCTCGCGGGTGAACACGGGACCTAGTGCCAGGTATCCAGCGCACCACACGGCGTCACGAACAGCAGTGGACGTGAAACCCCTTAGCAGTCGGACCACGCCATGCTCCCGGGCGATCTTGGTGACCGTTGCCCCGAAGCTCCTGCCATGGTTCTGCTGCAACGTCATTACGAGCTCCGCGGGAGCGCTGAGCACTGCTGACGCGACGCCCGATAGTGTGCCGCACAATACCTTGGTTTCGTCGGATGGCGCTGAGGTAGGATCCGTCAAGCTACGCAGCAACCGGCCGTTGACTGCGAACTGAATAGCGCTCACAGGTGCAATGGAGGCGAGGGAGACGATCACGCCGCGGTAAAGCGCCGGCATGGACCATGGAACGGGACGGCCCTGTTGCACCGCGTTCTTGATGGCCACGGTGGGCTGCTGCAGCATCACTTCTATCATGCCGGCGATGGAGCCGACGGCACCATTCTGCAGGCCTGAGAGGCGCTCTGCTCGTTCGGACATCGATCGGGTATAGTAGGAAGGGAACCCCGCACCTTTAATATATCTTTTGGTAAACTTGCACAATTGCCGGCGCCAGAATTAAAGGCATTTTTTTCTTAAAACCTGTTTTATCACGAAATGTTTTTCCTGTAAATATTGTATAACAAACTTAGTAAAACGTAAATTACTTCGCGGAAGCAACCTTTTCTTGAAATTAAGTTTACTTTAATTGCCAGATGCTCTATTGGTTTAACATAAGGCACAGGTAACGATCCTTCGTTTAACTCCAAATCATACCTTCTCGGCCTCAAGGCTAAGATCAAGTGTAGTATCTGTTCTAATCAGTGTGAAAACTGGTTTTCGCCTTTTGGCGGACTTTTTCACTCGCATTTTTGGGCAATCGTCTGCGGCTAGCTTGCTAGCGGCGGACGAGCGGTCTCCGGGGGCGTTCACCTTTCCCCCGCGAGGCCAACTACACCGATCTTCTCTACACTTTTCTAATTCGCCTTCGTCTTCGGTCTTCGGTTGTCGGGCTTTTTTTTCTTTTTGACCAATCAGAGTGCGCCATGCGACTCTTCTGGCCAATCAGAGACCGGGCCCTGTCCTCGGACAGCGAGGCCTCCACGGCCAGCCAATCAAGTCTCGGCAGCGACGCGTCTTTCTATAGCGCAGCTGACGAGGCCGATCTGGCGGCCCCCGATTGGTCCGACTTTCGGCCAATCAGCGACGACGAGGGGGCAGGGGTTTACACTTTTGCCCCCGTTTCGGCTTCAACTTCAGGCCAAAATGGCGATTTGGACCCTCCACGCGCCGTGCCACTGCTCGGCACCGGCGGCGACTCAGCGGATGCAGCTTCGGGCACGTGTGCAACACATGCAGCGCCCATTGCACGCCAAGCGGCATCACGGGACGACGCCTCGGCCGCTCAAGCGCAGCCCCGCCCTTCCAGCACGACCTCGCGCCGTTTGGCGGATCGCCATCAAGACGTGCGAGAGCCAGGCGGGGTCGGGCAAAATATACTTACTCTAAGTATGCCCGAATCCCTGCCCTCTCAGGCTGAACGCGGCCCCATACTTGATCTAAGTATGGGAGGATCCCTGGCCTCTCAGGCTGTACGCGAGACCCGTACGGCCGAATCCCTGGCCTCTCAGCCTGTACGCGGGGCTATACTTGGTCTAAGTATGCCCCGGTCGCTGGCCTCTGAGCCCGTACACAGCTCGGCCTCGCGGCTGCCTTCCCAGGCGCCGCCGACTTCGCGCTCTGGCGCGGCCCACACACCGCCGCCGAGCCTCCAAGCGCGCCCGTTGGCTTCCGCAGACGCAGGGCTCGCGGCGACGGCCCTCGCCAGCCCCCAAGACCCCCCCTACGATGTGGCACCACCCGGCAGGGCGGCCGGCAGGCTGCCCGACTCGGTATCGCCGGGTGCTACACTCTCAGCCGCCACAGCTCGGGCCTTGGCGGTCCGCCATTGGCCCTTGGAGCTCGACAGCGACAGCAGCGACGACGAGGACGCTCAAGACCCCCACGCCGCCGCCCCAGGACCCCCCGCAGACGTCGCGAGTGTGCTTGCCCCACCCGGCAAGGCAGGCAGCATGCTCGCCGACCCAGCAGCGCTGGCAGCCGGTCTGGCTCGCGCTCCGCCGCCCCCATCGGCACCCCAGGACCCAAGCCCCGCGCTCCCTGCTGGCCCCGCCGGCCAGAACCCTCGCGCCGCCGCCCCAGCCCGTGTTGAAGTCCACACAGTCGTGGCACCACCCGGCAGGGCGGGCGGCATGCTTGCCCGACCCGGGGTGGGTTTGACTCAAGCCCAAGCAGCGGCTACCGCAGCTACCTCAGCTTCCGGTAGCTGCTACTGCTACAAACTGCTCGCGCTACTGCTCCGCGTCGCCGTGGAGCACCACGCGCACGCTGAGCCGAACCAAGAAAACATCTCCGATGGCTCGCGTGCTCGTGGAGCCCATGCAGGTCGACGAGTGCAGCAGCTGCGACCGCAGCACTTTGACAGCCGACGACGGGAGTGGTGACGACGTTGCAGCCCCAAGCTCCATGCTCAGCAACGACGTCCCCGCCCCCATGGACGTTGACTCCGGCACCAGTTGCCCTCCAACGCTGCAGCAGCCGCTCCAGCGACCACGCACGCTGCGCGTAGGCAGCAAGCGCCGCCGACTCGACGCAGATGACGGTGAGGAAGCTCGCCAGCTGCAAGAAGAGGAGGAGGCTGGCATGCATGCCCTAGCGCTCAGGCTATCCGCGGCCAGCGCTCAACCGGCCTCCGTCCTCGCCGTGTACACGCACAACGCGTCGCGGTTCGACTGCACGCTGTGCGCGTACACGGCCGGCAGCTTCGCGTCACTTCTGACGCACAGGAACTCTCGGCACCGCCGCACCGCATTCCTCGACCGATTCTCGGCGGTTTGCGCGTGTGGCGTGCCATTCGCCTCGAGGCTGGCTGCAGTAAGACACGCGCAAGCGTGCGCCAGCCTCTCGAGCGCACCATCGGCGGAGGCTTCGTCGGCAGCAGGAACATCAAGCCCCACTGCCGACGGAGCCGACTCCACCGTCTCAGCCGCGGCTCCCGTTGAGCCCGACCTGCCCCACCACAACGCCACGGAGCTCACAGCGTCCCCCCCCCGCTGGTGAGCTCCACCGATGTTGAAGTGCAGGCAACAGAGCCCGAGGCCACCAAGAGCCGCTGGGGCACTCCACTCCCGCGCGTGCTGGTCGCGTCTCGGATCGCCGGGCGCCTCGCTCAGGTGCCACCCCCACGCTGGGGCCCCCCGCTGCCGCGCACCACCATCGCGGGCCGCATTGCGACGAGGCTCGCAGCCACGCCTGCCCCCCGCTGGGGTTCACCGCTGCCACGAAGCCTGGTTGTGTCACGCATCGCCGCCCGCCTGCTACCCGCGCTACCAGACGTGCCTGCATGCAAGGAAGAGGCCAAGGACAGCGACACGATGGACTGGGCGCCAACTTGGACAAACGAGGAGACCAAGGAAAGCGAGCCGCATGACGAAGCGCCAGGGCAGGTCGACGAGGAGACCATCGACGACGCCGACGGCGAGTGGCTTTTGCGCTTCGACGGTGCTTGCCGTGCAAACCCAGGCCCAGGCGGCGCCGGCGCAGCTCTCTTCAAGCCCAGCGGCCCCGTAGTGTGGACTTGTTCCCACTACGACCCGAGCACCACGGCAACGAACAACACAGCAGAGTACACTGCGTTGCTGCTCGGGGCCAGGGCCGCCGCCGACCACGGCGTCACGAAGCTGCGCATCGAGGGCGACAGCACGCTGGTCATCCAGCAAGTGCGGGGCATCTTCGCGACGAGAAGCACGCGGCTCCGAGCACTGCGCAACAAGGTCAAGCTCGAGCTCGCGCGCGTGGGAAGCTTCTCGCTCCACCACATCGACCGGCAGGCGAACGGTCACGCCGACCGCCTTGCCAACGCCGGCCTCGACCGACGCCGCACCAAGCTCGAGTGCAGTGTGCACCCCGATGGCAGGGGCTGCACCAACACCTCCGTGGCGACCGCAGCGCCTACTGCTCCTGCAGCGCCCTTGCCCTCAGCCCGGCCTCCTGCATCTACGGCCGCTCCGTCTCCTGATGACGACCACAGCGACCAAGGCGACATCGACGACGGCGAGGTGTACGCCGCAATGTGCATCAGCCCCGATGCTGTGCCGCTTCGCCGACCGCGCCTCCGCCTACGGCGCTTGACGGACGAGGAGTCCGAGGAGGCTGGCAACGTCGTGGAGAGGTTGGCAGCGTCGCTGGCGGCGAAGATTGCAGATGCGCCAGACTGGGAGACGGCGGAGGGCTACATCACGGCCCTACCGTACGCCCTCTACGACAAGCTGCAGCCGTACTCCCAGTCCCAGCACCAACCTCCACGTCAACAGCAGCAGCAGCAGCGGCAACGCCCACGGCAGCAGCAGCAAACACGGCAGCGTCGACAGCGGAGATGCAAGCGCGGCGGTGGCAGCCAACACAGGCAGCGGAAGACGCGCCGCCGACGGCCCCCACGGGTGACACGCCACACCGCGAGCACCGGATCGATGAAGCCCTCGACAACCTCCACGCGCTCGAGAGCAGGCGCCCTCAGGACAGGACGGCCATCAGCAAGGCCAGGCGTCGAGTCGGTCGCATCCGCTCCGCCCTTGACCAGCACCAATTGCGCCACCGCTTCGACACCGACGAGAAGGCCTGCGTGGACGGCATCCTGGCCGCCGCGCGCGACAAGGACAGGGCGGCATCAGTGACGACAACAGCGCAAACAGCGGCTCCGCCTCATTCTGCACCAGCTTCAGCTCCTTCGTCGGCGGTGGACGACGGAATCTGCCCGATTCCGGGAGACTTGCTCCATGCCTTCTTCACAGACGTGAACACGCCGCGCACGGAGTTCGACGCCGACTCGCCCATCGGAGCCCGCTTTCGGGAGGCGCTTGCTCAGCTGCCCGCTGCCATCGCTGCCACGGAGCTACTCATGGAGCCGCCGTCGCCGGACGAGGTTGAGGACCAGTTGCAACGTGTACGGGGTACGTCCAGCCCCGGCTTGGACGGAGTGGGGTACGACGTCTACAAGACCTTCACACAGCAACTCCTACCGGCCCTGCACGCCGCTTTCTCCAGGTGTTAGACTGATCAGCGCGTCCCACAGAGCTGGAAGCTCGGAGTCGTGCGGCTCCTGCTCAAGAAAGGAGATCGGCAGGACCCCGCCAACTGGAGGCCGATCTGCCTCCAGCAAGCCGTCTACAAGCTGTACGCCGGTATCCTGGCCCACCGGTTCACACGCTGGCTCGACGCCAACACCCGGCACGCTGACGCACAGAAGGGATTCCGCGCGGTTAACGGCTGCGGGGAACACAATTTCCTCGCAGCCACGCTGACGGACAACGCCCGCCGCCGACGCCGCGAGCTGCACGTGGTCTGGTACGACATCAAGAACGCGTTCGGCAGTGTGCCCCACGAACTGCTGTGGGAGGTGCTGAGGCGCATGGGAGTGCCGGCGCAGTTCATCGCGTGCTGCC